GGGATCTTGAGGTGTGCTTGAAAATAGTGATGGAGGCAAGAAATTGGCAGGACGCGCAACAACGCAAGACGACTGGGGGAAAAGGGCTCACCATGATGAGACCGTCTGAACCGGAGTGCACTGTCGTAATATGTTCCACAGATGCTGCTTGGAATGCAGCTTCGATGGAGTGCGGTATTGGCTGGGTTTTCACGCAAGAGAGGCATGGTACTCTGATGAGTGGATCCGCTACGTATCGTTTTGTTCCCTCGGCATTGGTTGCAGAGGGACTGGCTATAAAAGCCGTAATATCTGCAGCTTCAAACTCGGAGATGGGAGAGCTCAATTTGCGCTCTGATTCTCTTACTCTTGTCACTCTCCTTAACAACGGAGGTGTGATCAACGAGCTGAAAAGCGTTCTATTTGACATTCGATGTTTGATACGATCCTTTTCTTTTTCTATCAAGTTTACTCATGTATCTCGCAAGGAGAATGTTCCTGCTGACACCTTAGCTAAAGAGGCCTTGAGACTCTTTACGCTCTCCTTTGTACCAGACCCTTAAGAGAATTTAATCAAAGTGGTTTTGAACAAAAAAAAAATATACAAAACCAAGACTAAACCAAAACTAACTTAATCGGATTCTATTTACAATTAACCAAGTAAAACAAAACCAATCTATACAGTAGAAACTTCAAAGCATTTTCATATCTCATCTATCTCTTTGAGATTGCAATCTCATGTTATATTGGTTTTTTGTATTTCAGTTGGAGCATATAAATGCAATCTTGCAGGGAGTTGGACTAGTTTGTCTCATGAACTCTTTGGTCTAGGCGATGTTAAACATTTGTACAAGCTATTATGGTCTGGAAAATTGTTATGTGATGCTTGCGAAATCACTCCTGACCTCAATTTCTTCTGACTATAATCAAGATCAAGGACGAGAGGAGGCTGCATATTATGTAAGGCAGCTAGTGAAGGAACTGTTAGGGGTGAGAAAGAATATCAATGATGTTAGAAGGGGGACTTATAGACAGCCGATTTTGGATGAAGAGAAGAAGATGAGTAACGTGATTAAACAAGAGATAGGACATTGGAGGAATCAATACCAGCAAATAAAGTGAGAAGGCTTGTGTATGCAGGGAAATGTTATTGTTTCAATCATGATTCAGTAATCTCCATAGACTGTTTCATATTATCTACGTAAAGCTGCAAATTCTTCTTTTTCTCAGAATTAAGAATTTTCGGGATCAAGCGTTCCATGATTTGAAGTTGCTTTTTGGCTTCGTCCCACTTAAGCCTCATAGTTTGCAGCATCTCTCCTGATGAAAACAAAACATAATGTTTTCAGTTTTTTTTTTCTTTGTTAAAGAGAAGTAATCCAAAAAAAGAAAATGTGTTTTATACCTTTGTCGTCACTCTTCTTTGGTTCACTTTTCTTTGTTAAAACATCAGCAACAAGAGGAGCTAACTGCTGAGGTACAATCAATTAGTATAAGTTATTTTAATTTCAAAGAAAATTCATTTCAAATCTCTATAATATTAAAACAGCAGTACATTTAGTAGAATGTCCAACATTGATTCAATTATTACTCAAATTGCCATTGTCTTATAACTAAATTGACTAAATTGAAAAGGATAATTTTGGATTGATGCAATGGCAATTTTAGTAATTTTGAGATCAATTTCGGACATTTTTAAAACTGGATCCGACTGAAGATATGGGTATCCTCTGTGAACCGGTTCGCTACTCGTTTTCAATAATGGCATTTAAGTAATTTTTTCAAACCTTGATGGATCGTAAAAAACATGTTTATGTATTTGTTGGATTGACTAAAGCCCAAACAGATTTTGATGATGGAGAAAACGAAAATAATGTCTTTTAAATATAGGGAATCTTTATCAAATCATATTGTCATAGTTGTTTCCTAAATATATTGTAACAGTCTAACAATTAACGTAATTTTCCATAATAACGAAAATCATGCATTATTAATCCTACAACTTGCATAGAAAGTCAAAGTAAATGATGGAATATATTTTTGAAAATTAAATCTAATATATGTACAATATATTAATGAAAAAGATATTCATTTCTAACCTAAAATATATGTTACCTACATGTGCTTATAAATAGAATTTGATGAAAGAGAAAAGAATAGCACTACTCATATTATTTTWGGTCGATAGCCTTTTCTTCTAAGTTTATGTCTTTTGTTTCATGTTTTTTGCGTTTACTATAAGTTGCCTATAGGTACTCAATTTTATGTAAGTTATATAATATTTGTTCTAGATTTCGGAATGCTAACTAGATGTGTTTATCATACCGTGTGTTCAGATTATCAAAAGTTTTGGAAATTCTACAAATTTAGTGGTAC